ACTGAACATGGGCCATGGTTTTTTTGAACCATAATGAGATAGTTAATTAATTTGAAGCAAAAATACAAAAAAAATAACTGTAAAAATATAATCGTGTAGTATTATCGCATATTATTTATTTAGTCAATCATAATACTGTTACACACATTGATTATTAACCAATAAAAACAAACTTTCTCTATGCTTTTCTCAGTTAGTTTCTCCTATTTATTATCAAGAATGTCAAGCATCGAAATTCACAATTATTTCAAACGAAAGTGCGCAGATTGGAGCCTTATAGGATTTTTAAATGAAAGCAAAGAAGAACCTTTCCAGCTGAAAATGGACTTGTACTTGAGATCCCTTAGGTTGATTATTAATTGCGAAAAAGGAATTAGGAAGGAAAAAGCACAACTTCTCCATAACAAATATAATAGCAAGACAAGTAAATCATATTTTTTTGTTAGAAATTTAATAAGTGACGTGTCAAGAAATCAACTAGTTTCATTTGTCATTCAAGTTAATTAGTCGAGCCACAAACTAGTGCTGGAACACAGGTGATCAATTAGTTTGCCTGATGTTTTCAAGTCAATTAGTCGAGCTAGCATTGGACCCATCAGGCGCAGGCAATCAATTAGTTTAGCTGATGTTTCAATAGAATGGTTAATCAGACTTGGGATTATATATCAAAGAATACTACTAACCTTTTTTGTTCTCTTGTGCTAGGATACCGAACCAAACTATAAAATGGCAAGAAAGTGGGAAACAGAGCATTCAAAGAAACATATTTATCTTAACAAATCAATGTTTATGGAGATTGAGAGCGCAAGTGGAACTGTGAACAGTGGAACCATCAATGAGACCATCAATAATGAGACCATAGGTTGTGGAGCTTTCGATGTAAAAAAAACCAATAAAGAGAGGTATATATATTTAATCAGAATTATTATTTTTCATGTTCCTAATGAACTATTATTTTAATCTTTAGAATAATCACGAAAAAAAACAGAACATGAGGATAAAGAAGAATAAGATTGTTGCAGATCTCCTTCCTGATGACCAAACACACTCGAAAAAACCTCTCATGGAGTCCCACCAGAATCATAATTCGACATCTGATCTTTCTACTAAATTTAATTGTGAAGAAGGTAATAAAGCATCTTAATTTTTGCTAAATAAAAGAATCTAATATATATTATAGATGTAGATATCGAGTCTGAATATTATGATGCCAGGAAACGATATAAGATTCTTTATTCATGGGAAGATGTAATTGATAAGGTTGATTTCAGAGAACTTCTAAAGAGGATGTAAGTACACGACATAGTCAATGTTTCGTTGCATTCACTGTATATTAACTAACTATACATATGCGCTTTTTTAGTGATTGTTGAAAGCTACAATCTCTCCAATGAGTTTCAGAACTTTCAACAGCTAACAATTTGACAGGTCAAAGAAAACCTGTATTTATGTTATAAACAAAACATCCAAAAAATTCTGTAAGTATCGTATTCCATCTGATTCATGTAATTTTATAACCATGTTCAACATTATGTTTATTATTCTCATGTTAAAATAGTTGCCTTTCAAATATAATGCTTATCGAGCGTACAAAATCTTCATATTTCACTATCACTTCAGCAATTTGGAACAAAATCTTTCGAAGACAATTACCTCCAAGTCTGCCACCAGTAGTGAATAATATGGCTCTCAAATATTCTTCCGTATGTTACTTTTCCCACTCTTAGATTCAGAGTTAAGTTACAAGAAATTGACATTGAGCATTTTCACCTTTAACTCTAGATGTTGAATTCTTTTACATTATTGAGTGATATTCAGGACGTATGGTATGCTAATTTTTCTAAAGTTGTAAAATTGAATGTTCAAGACAAGGACAAATTTTGTCAGGCTCAAATTATTTTTCGAAATTTGTAAGTGTTGCACTCATTATAAGTTATAATTAATGTAACACTGAATGGAACATTTTCTTGCTATAGTTTATTGCTGAGTTCGAAAGGCATGAATACCAATAACGAGGACACCTTTGTCTATGAAACTTTGCATGACCTATTTAAAGAAATTTTTCACGATTCAATGTTTGAGCTGATATGGTGAGGGTTTGCATTTGTAAGTTTGCCGTGTGATCGTCGAATTATGTAATTAATGATGTCTAATTTGATAGGGCAAATAGCGAGAGCTCCGTTTCAAAAAATTGGCGTTATAGTTCTAGCGACAAGGAAAATTTTCGAGGTAAAAAACCCGATTTTAAAATTGTGACCAATATAAGGGATGAGATTCTTTTTAGTGAAGCTAAACCAAAAGACTCATCATCTATATTGATCAATAAAGATTTTGTCAAACTTTCCAATTTCTAAGCAAGTGCCCTAGACAAATTAGTCATGAGATATGGAAACAGGATTGGACTAGTTTCTTTTGGTATTTGGGTTTGCGGTAAGTGCTCAAATTTGGTTTGCCTTTTTAATGCATTTATTAAAACATAATTGATTGCATTTATAAGCGCACGTATTCACATCTATGAGATGGATATAAATTATGATAGAATTTATAGGATGTTCTTAACAGCAAATGTACTCACCCCAACAGAACCGGCGCAATTTTTAAGTTTGATACCAGTGTTAGAAGCATTATATAATGTCAAGGTAAGTAATAAATAGTAGTTTCTTTTTTACTACCTTTAATGTAAATCTCCATCAAACCATAGGACTGTATTTCTGAAACATTGAAAGTAATCACTCCTAGTACACCACCTAGTCCGTCACGTTCTACTTATCGCAGAATGTCCATCCCCTCACCTAAACCTATCAAGGTTGCGATTATTAGCCTACAATCAAATTAATTCTATACTTTCTGAGCTAGAATCATATTTTATAAATTCACTTAATATCCTGTATTCTTGCAAATAAAAATAAAGTAATGTGCTGAAATTTCTGTCATATGACGTTATTGTTATATTCATCCCAAAATTTTTCTTGGTGAAAGTACATGAATATTTTTCACGGATCACATGTTTTTTCGCTCATGGCTCGTTAGCCAAATTCATGTGATTTTTTTATTTTTTGAATATTAACATACTAATACTACATTACGCAAACATGCAATCTGAAATAGATGGTCCTGGTAAGACTAATTCGTTAAAACAATATATTAGCGAGCTTAAGGTTGAGAATGATAAAATTAAGGCCGAAAATGCTGAGCTTAAGGCTAGAGTTGCGAAATTGGAAGATAAGCAAACACAGAACGAATTAATAAAAAATTTGCTATCTGCATCATATGATAAAAACCATTAAGATGTATTAATTTGGCGAAATTTCTTCAGCGCCGGGGCACCCCCTGCCAAATGATTTTTCTTGTTGACCAATGGTCGGGTATCATGTGCATTTTTGATCATATTACGGTTTTCTAGCAGATCTCCGCAACATTGACGCATATGACTATATCCTGGTAGACTTCGTATTTATGGGTGGCAGAATGCTCAGAATTCTTAGATTCTCAGAATTTTTTTTTATCTATATAAAATGACTAATAATATACTGATACCATCTTTCCACATATATTACTCGAATCAACTTAACCAACTTACTTGATCCATTAAAATAGATATATGGCGATGCCTTACATTTCGAAAATACCTATTATCGCTAGAACAGGCAAGTGGTATTCACCCTGAAGTGAAAGATATATTAAATCAGGCAGTTAAAAAATATATTAAGAAAAAAAAACATCAGAGGATGAAGCCTATTATTAGTGACTGTGAAACTTTATTAAGACGAGAAAATGAGGAGTTGTGTATATCAAAACAGGTATTGGAAAAAAAGATTGAAGAGCTTTTCAATTTGCAAGAGCAGTATAAGTCTCGTGAGGTAGCCATGACCAGGTCTTTAGAGGAGAGTGGCGGGAAAGTCATCCAATTATCAGATTCGGTAGCTTTCTTCAAAAGTATAATTCCTGATACGAAAAAAACTATTGCATCAGCTGAAAAGTCCATTGACCTGTTAGAGAATAGATGTTGGAATCTGGAGGATATTATCTCTGTTAAAGATAGAAAAATTATCGCTCTTGTTGATCAGATCCTTTTCAAAACGAAGCATAATGATGTGACTATAGAACCAGAAATATATTCTAGCATTCATGAAAGAAAATTATGGGCGAAGAGGCGTAGTGAATCTGAACATGATCTAGAAATCAGGAAAAAATATACATTTCGTCCTTAGACTTAAAAAATTCTACTCATCCAGCTTTAAAGGAGAATCCCAGCCCAGCCTAATCGCTAATGGATCATCTATCGGCTTAGTAAAATCAAAGACTACAAAATTTTTATCTCACAAATGCTTATCAATGATCTTAGACGCTTTTTTGGATCATCCGTATATTGACGC